GCAAACCTGAGATGTTGCTGATGCTCGGTTAAAGGAGACTTTGAATACAGAGAGCAAGTTCTTACACCACAATCAGCTATCCATAAACAATCTCAAGCAAGCTGGACTTGAGAATAAAACGAGCATGATTGCATAACTACTGCTGGACTACCTCGCTTAGGTTTTCACCTGTTCATTGATCGCGGTCTTTATTTTCTGTTGCGTGTGAAGGAATGGTTTGAACAACCAACTCTGACAATGCAGTACTAGGTTAGAACAGGTGTGTCCAACAGTTCTTGTACATGAAAGGATCGTCTGAGAATTCTCGGCTACTATATGTCAGAAACAAAACTTTCGGAGACTGAACAGGAAAATACGAGAAAAGGGGTTATCCATTTAAGTTCGTTATTATTTTCTCCCGATGTGAGGACCAAAGAACTTGCATTTAGAACCACACCCAATTTGTACCTTATCACTGCTGTCCACAGAGATAGACTTCAAATTTCTTTAACCTTTCTTTATAATTGTGATTAGCATTCATAGAACTCTATGCGATTTTGTGGATACAGGGACACCACTCAAGATGTAATAGAAACCAAGATTTTACCCAAACATCACGCGAAAAACTTGAATAATAAATTTCACAAGGTCCAATAACTCAGAGCTTGTCGAACAAGCAAACAACGGGAGTAAAGAAATTCCCACTCTAAAATTTTCTCTGTGAAAAAAACTTTAATCCATGACCACTGTACTAAATTCATTAATAATAAAATTTTACTCAGAACACAAATGAGCATCTGGATACAAGGTGGAAGCAAGGAAAATCAGGACTAATCAGCTTCAGATCATTAGTTTATTGCACAAAACTGATTTTAAATTTCTCTGTTTATATCCTTGTGAAATCAGCGCAATAAAAGTAATAAAATACAAAACAAGAACCGATTTAAACAGTTATTAAATTTCAAAATTTAAAAGACAACTTTTGAGGTCTACTTGACTCACAATCTACACTAAACCAGCTAACTAAACGAGCTTAACAAGCGGAGGTACTCCTTGCCGATACGATATTCAGTCAACGACAAAGTTCAACTACGAAAGGTACTTTAATACAGCTTACTTTACAGATCTCTATTCCTTGCCTTCTCTGTGACTTTCTGTCTCTTCTGAACTATCTTTTTCAGATAATCACATTCAGTTATACTCTCTTCTAGGTTAACGTTCACTAACTTGTTAAGCCTTCTTCTAAAATCTCATCTTACAATTACTGGCTAGTCCATATATGTTCACACATGCAAATATACCAAGTTTTTTCATTATGACTTAGCCTAACACTATCCAATACATGATTTGCTGACGGCCACTTATGTTAAGTTAAATATAATTAAGAAAATATTTACCAGTAAAGATTATGGGTTAAATCGAATAAAAACATAGTAAAATCACGACTTGGGTCTTAACTTTTCTGCGAAACTGTAAACAAAAGACAGCGCCCAGTTTGACATACAAATCCTGAACTAAAAACGGATTGATGTATCTACAGGATACATCAAAACTTTAATTCCTTGAGTTCGTCAGGTAATGAATTTTCTGGCAATTGAAGGATCAAATAAAAGCACATTCATAACTATAAATTGTCAAGACAGAGCCACGATGTGCCATGACGGACAGTACAAAACATATCAGTTCCATTATTAACAACTAAAGATCACGTAGAAAACCTAAAACCCAAAAGTTGTCCACAGTAACTAGAAGCAAATAATAAATGGGCGCTCCCTATGGTTCAGTCGAATAGTTAAAACATATAGCTATTGATTTAATCTATTCGTTTTTCGTAATAACACTGTCACAATATGATTACAGTTAATTATGCACAAAATACGAAAACGTGAAAAATGACATGGTAATTAATACCATAACTTCTAGCAACTTCTATGATTATCGAACATTCTTCGTAGGACTCAAATTAGACATATCACTATAGCGAATTATTCCAATTAATCTTTTACATTGCACTTAATCCTTAGTGGAACTTAGTTACATGTGTCTCCATGTTTTAAGTTATAACGTGGCCAGTAACCGAGTTTGTCATACATACAATTAAGGTATTTTCCCTCTAGACATTTGCTATTTTCTACCTCTACCCATTTTATGAACAAGTTTATCCCGCCATTTTGGGCGAATTGGTCTTTCACAAACTTGTCAATTGCCTGCAGGTTTTGCGATTTATGCTGCTGGAGCCGCGTACGAATGTGGATGGACTGTCCCACGTATATGACCGGCTCAGGACCTGGTAGAAAGCCTATCGCATAGATGCCTTCAGATTGTGGCGCTTCAGCAAGGTCAGTTGCATAGGATCTCCACGCTTTTTTGATAAGACGTTGACAAACATTAGAAGCCGACATCTGAGGAATAAACAGAACGTCCGCATTAATAACTGTATTGTGTTTTGTGCTGAATTAAAGGCAAAGAGTTTGGCTGGAAGCCACAGCGAAACGTAGCCTAATATTTTTCATCTCAGAACACTCATGCAGCCTGTTAATTTTCCTACATCTATGAATTTAGGAAACTGGGAACTTTATCAGACGTGTTCATGGGAAGTATTGGTGTTTAGCGAATTGCGAGCGCCTTTGAAACTCCCACCGGAAGTCCTCGTCGAACTTCACGTGCACCAATTGCTTGCTTTTTTACTGAACACGTGACATATACATGATTTTGCACAATATTACATTATCGTCGCCATATGTAACATTACTACCTTTTAATGATTTCATTTAAACGTTCATGAAATTAAAAGCACAATCCCTGACACTGTTTGGGTTTTGTATTGAGATCAAAACATCCTACACCTTAATAATTAACAATTATTCCATGAAACCGCGTTGGATATGAAGTGATAAATAACCAACGAGCGCGTAGCGCGAGTTGGTTATGATCACTTCATATCCAACANGCTTTTATTCGACTCGAACGAAAAAGAACAAAATATATACAAGTGCAATGAGAGGTCTCTGTTCTTTGAAAACCTAAATTGGTTCACATATAAGTCAGCCCGGATATTGTGGCATTGCATATGAATGGGTTTATGTCATATATTATGTCTTTCATCATAATGGTGACGAATGGTTCGCTCTCATTCACTTTCATTGCGGTATTTCCTTAATTGATAAAGGAATCAGTAAATTATCAATGCCCAAACGCCGTGTATTTTATTGTAGACAAGCGAACACGGTGCAAACTGCATATTTTTAAATATTTAGTTTATTTACTTATCTATTTTAAATCTTTAAAAAAAAATACTAAACACGGTACGCACGTTTTTTGAACCCACAGATGGTCTCTAATATTTGTCAACGCTTAATCAATAAAGTCTGGAGATCGTACGCCAGTGATCTCGACAAAGCACCTCATGCTGAAGGCATTTATACCATAGGCTACGAGGATCCAGATGGCGAGGTTGAGTACATCTATCTGGGGCATTCCAACGACATTCGGAGGCGACTAAAGGAGCACAAGCGACAGGATTTGGATATCGATGAGTTTGTAAAAGATGAATTCCGTCTAAACAATGGGCAAGAGCTGAGAATTAAATGGGTAGAGGAGAAAGATAGCGAATGTGTTGAAGGAGAATACCTCGATTGTATGCATAAAAAACTCGGTTATTGGCCAGAGTATAACAAAAAGCGTGGAAACGAATGTGAATAGGTCTCCCTAAGATCTATTAAATGTACTGAAGGCATACATTTGAGATGTAGCTTTAATAGTTGAATTTCAAGCGTACATTTATGAAAACTATTCATGATTCTTATTAGAGGGTTAGATGTGAGATTTTAATTAATAAACTTGTAACTTCAACCATAACAGACGACTTATGGTAAGCAACTCTCGATTCGCTTTCGACTATTTAGTCCAGTATATACATCATATATCCTCTCATTTGGCAATTTGCTATAGCTCGGTCATTTCCGACATCAAGGATAGCTGCAGCTTAGCTCAGAATCTCCAGTACTGGTTTACTGCGGAAGCTAACAGCGTTAGCGATCTAACCGACTCCATCCACAAAATTTCGATGCAAATCTTTAGGTCAAAACCCGATCATAATTATTTGTAGAACGATTCGCTAGTCCTCCACCTCGAGAAAAAAAATAAAAATTGTAGTAATTTAAACTCACGTTTATTCCTCGCCCTTGTTACCTTGATCCTGATAAAGGTTTCTTCTACTTGTGTGGAAATGAAACAAGCTCAATACACAGTAACTCTCTCTCCTTGGTATGCAATGAAGTAAGTCAATCAGAAATCAAAATTGCTGAATCTAACCCTGAGAGAACCACTGGGAACTACTGGGTTTTTTTTCGGTTTTTTTTTTTTTGTTTTTTTTTTTGCGATCCTCAACAACCTCGTTCAAGGGCCACTCTGGGAATTACCACTCTGTTATTATCACTACTCCTAGATATGCTAATTTGAATTCGTTATGATGAAGCATTTGATTTTTGCAGAGTTATATGGGCTGGACTCATGTAACGACTACTTTGGAGTTATCACCTGATCGTGGTGGAGTGGTTTGCGTGCCCCAGTAACCCCTAGAGCTATGTCGGCGGGTGCCATGTGCACCTGGTAG